CAATGTACAAATTATACATACATTGTAGAGAATCCATAAATAAAAATCCACATGAAGTTACCACACCTGCAGAGTCCTGTAGAAGCTGGTCTCCATGTCACGCACCAGCTGCTTCACGTGGCTCATCAGGTCCAGCGTCTTCAGAATCACCTCAGAAATCAGCTGGCTTGCAGGTGTAAGCGCACAGAAGCATGATGCGAGGACCACAAGATGCTTCCAGAAGATAATCAGAGGAGGTGATTTAGAGAAACCCACCTGAGTCCGGAGTCTGTGAGGGAACAGCCTACAGCTGCGTCCATGTGGCCGCTGGACAACAGCGCCTCCACCTGGGCCAAGCAGAGCGGAGCACTTAGCTCCTGAGCTACCAGCATCTGTGCGGAATCCTCTCTGCACAGCGGTGACTCAGTCAAGGGCGAGAACAGAGCGAGAGAGACAGACAGAGAGAGAGAGAGAGAGAGAGAGAGACAGAGAGAGAGAGACAGACAGAGAAATGGAGTGATGGAGAGAGACAAAGACAGAGAGATGGAGCGCGAGAGAGAGAGAGAGAGAGAGAGAGACACGGACACGGACACACACACAGCACATTGAAGGATATTAAGCAGCAGCTCCAGAGTTCGAGATGCCCGCAGGCAGTACTTCTTGATCTCAGCCTCGTCAGCCATCACCTCAGGGAGCTGCAACAGGTCCCGCAAGACCGGAAGCAGCAACTCCAAGAAAGGCATCACCATCCCAACCAAGGAGGAATCTAGCGCCTCCTGCAGGAGGAAAGGGAGACAGACAGCATAAGGGGGGGTGGGTCACAGCGAGACACACAAAGGACACACTCACACTCACCTCACACAATCCCGTCAGCAAGCCCAGAGCCTGAAGGGAGCAGCAGTGAGCCCCGTCTGGCGGCAGGCTGACCCACTGCAGCAGGGCGAGGCCCGGCTCTGACCCGCCGCCCGGGGCCTCCTTTCGGGACCCGAGCTGCAGGCGAGGGCCAGGGGGCCGGAACACGGCCTGGCACAGTAGCACGCGCAAACCCGGGACGGAGGAGACAGAGACCAGCAGCTCCAGCACCTGCAAAGGGGGCACCACGGGAACACACTGAGCTGAAGACACCAGCATGAGCAGACGTGGGAAGGAGGCAGGGTGGGTGCAGGAAGGCGAGCAAGCGGGGTTGTGAACGGGCTCTGAACCTCCATTGATAAGGCTGGAGCTCAGCTGTTACAGGTCACTTACTGTAAGCCAGATGTGGCAACACTCGGCGACCCCTAAGCCCTAAGGCCCCCATCCATGCTAAGCACCTGACCTAACACTTTCCCAGAATGCACTGCAACACTCACTTTGCCAGCAGAGTCGGGGTCCCTGCTGTGCAGAAGACCAAGCACCTGCGACAGGCAGCGAGGAAAGTGCTCGTACCTGCAGGAGGAAGGAGAGTCACTGATGATTGCCAGGTGCATTGCAGAGTCAGTCACTAACCCACAGAGAGTCAGGTGTGCCCTCAACTTGGTCAACAAGAAGATGAACGGGCTGACCTGGAGAGGTGATCTGCCATCTTGGGGTTCTTCAAAAGATCCACCAGAAGGTCCACAGCATACTTCCTGGTGAGAGTTCCATCTCCATTCACCATGATGTTGAAAATCAGCTGGTACGTCTGGTGGATGTTCTTAGCATGAAACAGCTACAGGACAGAAGCGGATGGTAGGTGAAGGTGTTAGCACCAGGTAGTGGCACCAGCAGGGTGAGAGGGAGAGAATGGGGGAGGAGGGTTCATAACAATGGGAAGGAGAGAAGAGCTATATACGGTGGGAGGGAGCATACAGGGCAGGAGGGACTGGACTGTACCAGCTCGGTACAGGGCACACGACGACTCCTACCTTCTCACCAACTTCCTCATTGAGGGTGAGACTGGTCAGAATAGAGAGTGCAAACACCACTATGGTTAGGCTACTGTGCGCCAGAAAGTTGATCAGAGTCCGATAGAAGGTCTTCACATGAGTCTGTAGCACAAGACAGAAAAGGAGAACAAAACATTGCTGAAAGAAAACCAGAAACCGGAGACAGCAAGAGCCGAGTACCACATGCAACACCTACACCTCCAGCAAAGCAAGGAACGTGAAGCCACGTCCCAGAGAAGGCGGTTCTCACCAAGGACTTGACATGGGCCTGGATGGACACGTTGCACCGGCAGAGATTGGCCATGAGGCCCAGGCAAGGCACAGTGAGGTCATCAGTAGGGGACTGTCTATACAGAAGAACATTAACAATACACAGGCAAATGCATGAGCACATGAGGTCCAGACGGTGGAGGGCACCCCCCAGGAGGAAAGAGACTCACATATGCTGCATCAGGAAGGCCACCAGCTCGTCCATGTAGGTGGCACTGTGGGAGATCCTCACATTGTACGTGAGCTTCTGCAGCAGCTGCAGGCACTGCAAAGCGCGTCTTCATATGATCCACAGGGAGGGAACAGCAAACACCAGGCCTGCAACCCCATGTACCTGCCTATACCACCCCCTGAACTAGCCCTTCTAAACAGCTTATCGATGATTCCTGCAGTAAATACGCAGAAACTGCAGACTGAAAATACATGCTATACCCTTGTTAGGACATTGGGTTAGCAGCAAGAGACAAGACAATACAGTTTACCTGCAATACCACCTCCTCCCTGGGGGTGGAGCTGTTATGATGAATGATAGCTGCTAGTGTCCCAGTGAGACTGTAGTTATGAAGAGCAGCTCTGGTCTCATCATCCAAGGCTGGTTTAATGAAAGGAAAAAAATAAATGCAGCATGACAGGGGACACGGATGGGCAGAGGGACAGACGGACAGGGAGGACAGAGGCAGAGGGGAGATACCAAGCTGGGCCAGGAGCGATATGATGTTCCCAATGAGGACAGGGCTGGTGTTGGGGTCGCCTGCCAGCTCCACCAAACCACTGAGACATTCGCTGGGCAGCACCTGGCTGGAGGACAGCAGCGTGGGGCCCTTCAGCACAGATACAGTCTGGAGAAGGGGACAGCACGATGGGTGTTTCTCAACATGTGTACTTGACCATACTTGTGTTCTCCTGTACCAATTATACGTCATCTTCCATTGCAAAAGACTAATGCTCAAGCACAAAAGTACAGAGGACGGTAACAATCCCCCGGGTGTCGTTTTTGCCCCGCCCCAAATATAAAGGATGCATCGTAGGCAGGTTAGCAAGACCGGTCGACCGCAAGTACGATTTTACCTTCTTGGTATTGAGAAACACCCGTTTACAGCCGCTACAGAGCTGGGCCACAACCCAAAGAGAAAGGGGAGAGCCCAGGCCACCCCGCTCACCCCGATGAGCCTCTGCAGCTGGGCAGCGTCGGCCGCCGACATGCTGGCCTTGTACTGCTTAATGGCCAGGAGCAACGATTTCAGGCACGTTGTCGTGTCCATCCTGAAAGAGACAGCACGACGTAAATCCGACAATGATATACGCCCATACCTTACAACAGAAACACGTACACGGGAAAAGAGCGAGGCAAATTCTCTCATTATATGAAAAATAACTGGAAGCACGCTTAAATAAATATTTAGATTATGCCCAACAGAAATTTAAGGCAACATCACATTTTAACGCTTCTCACCACTTTAACACCAAATAACGTGACGGTACATTGTTTCGCTATCTGGGGTTTTTCCGTACACGATACCGGTTACACACCCTCCTCACCTCTGTAACGTAAAGATATAAACCGAAGTCCGGAAATGCTATTAAACAGCGTTGGATGTGATGGGTGATCCGTAAATAGTGCGATATATTAGCAGTATATTGACCGGTTCCTAATCGCGAGCCGCGCCGTCCCGCGCGCAGCTTCGAAAATATGGACTGTACCACTCGAGCTGCCGATGGGGGACGTCCGACTTTACCCTGCAAATGATCCACTATTCGGATTGACCACATCGACATACCAACTTCAACTAAAATAATTTAAAATGTCTTTAAAAAGATATACAACTATACAATATCCAACTCTAAGACATTTAATGGAATCGCCAAGCGACATTCAACTTAAGTAGTCTCTACGTTGGGAACGGGATGTCGTCATCGCGTCTAATGTTTCCTGGGTGGCGCTGAATTTATACATTGTCGCGTGTTATGTTTATGTGTTTTTTCGGTCAGTTTGCTCGTTAATGCTCTTCAAAGCCCGACGTTTGTGCGCCCTCGAAGCAGGAGTAATTGCTAACTTTAGGTTTACATGACGGCCTTTAAGCTCCCATCAGTGTTAGGTAACGTGTTGACAGCAGGGTTTCGTTTACGAAAATTAAAACCATAAGAGAACAAACAAATACTACACATATTGTTTCCGAAAGTAACTGACGTGAAATAAATACAAAGCGCCTTTAGTTGACCATTAATAACACCTGGAACTCGTTTTGCCCATTTTGAATACATTAGTACATAATATGCGGTGTTTTCATGTAGGAATCACCAAAGATCAGACATATTAAATAGTTTTACAACTTTAGCTCTATTTCTAGAAATATATTTACTGAAACTAAAATATGTTTTATAAACTAAATAGAAATATCTTTAAAATAAAACTAATGAGACCCTACAAAAAACATAAAATTAGAATGAATTTATAATGAAAATTGATAATAATAATAATAATCAACTCTTTATTGTCCCCGTGGGGAAACTGTTTTTATGCCTCCCTCAACTCACTCTGTAGAGCGAGCTGTCCACAAAGGGCGGCTAACGGTTGGGGCACCCAGGGAGCTGGGGGTTAAGGGACTTGCTCAACCCATGCTGAGGCTGGGTTTGAACCGGCGAACTTCTGATTACAAGCCACACATTGTATAATATAATAACTAAATAAAAAATAACACTGGTTGACAGTGAAGTCAACACAAAATGATGTGGGTGCTCCATGCTGTCCTCCGGGGCCGGTTGCAGCCCCCTCCCAGCGGCACAAGCCAGCCAATTACATTTTGAGATTGAAGTGAAATTGGCTGTCTGCTAAGTCAATACCCCTCAGAATTTGGCGCCCTTGTCTTGGGGTTCCTAACCTTTTCATGACTGTGGATCGGCTTATGTCATACTAAAATTTCAAACTTGTCAACTAAATGCCAATTGAGGGAAGAGTGTATCTATTTCCTTTTTCAGTTGTATACGTAAGGAGTTGTAAACATATGCATGGCCTATGCATATATAGTTTATTTTCAGAAATTCCTCCCCAGAACCTCCAGCATTCCAGGAACCCCTACCCACGGGCTGTCTGCATTGCCTAATGAGTGACCCAGCACTGGTGTCCTTGGTCATCTGTGAGAAGAGTCGGGAAAGATATGAAAAGCACAAGTAAGAATTTCATTGAACTATGTTAATTGTTTTGGAAGTAACTGTACTTTTACTTGAGTATGATTTGAGTACGGTCATTCCACCCTTGATGCTGACAGATACAGTCAGTGAGCGGATGTGGCTTCAGCAAACTGTGCAACCTGACAGCCGCCTGGTGATACAGCTTTGTACTTAATATGTAAATGTATGCAGAGGAAACAGCTCATCGTGTATGCAAATAAGCATTCTGATATTCACCTCGCCTGGAAACATGTGGAGTCCCACATTTTGGTATGTGTACATGTGCTGTGTGAACTGCAAGTAGAAGTAGAGAAGTAGAGAATGAAGTAGAGAAGTAGAGTGTTGCACTGAAGTAAACGCTGTAGTTTTATGAGACGCTGATAATGGAGGCACTTAGTGACTCGGGAATGTAGTGGTTACAAGTGGACAGCAGAGGGCAGCAACAGCATGTTCCTCATTTCCATAATCCAAACATCCATTTTCTACCACCAGGGGTGGGCAATTTTATCCGCAAAGGGCCGGTGTGTATGCAGGTTTTTGGGATAGCCTGTAGGTCAGCTGTTCAAACCCTGGTGTGAGGACTCTTCAGCCAATCAGTCCTCTAATTAGTAATCTAATTAGGGAGTTGCAGCGAAAACCCGCATACACACCGGCCCTTTGCGGATAACATTGCCCACCCCTGTTCTAGACACTTTTGTCCAGTGCAGAGTTTCAATGAGCCTGAAGCCTTTACCCAAGAATCCAGTCACTGTCTGAGCCCAGCCAGTCATACTGTCACATACTATGGACTGCTCCCAGTGGAGTTGTGGACGGAAACTGGAGTATTCAGGGGAAACCCACAGAGATTGTGCGAAATCCACACGAAGGACTGAGAAAAACGGGTAAAGGTTAAAAAAAGAGAATTTTTTTTGTGCCATTGCTGGTTATGTAACCCTTGGATTAGTTTAAACTAATTCAGAAAGATGCAAAGAGAAAAGAGAAACTGCAGAGTCAGATGGAAGAAAGCTGGCAGGATATACTTCATTTACATTACAACAGCAGACATTTATCCAAAGTGACAGACAATCAGGGGAGCAGGGCCAGTCAGTCCCTAAAGCGACTGAAGTTAAAGGCCTTGCTGAGGGGCCCAATGGCGAACTCACTCTGCCAGCCACAGGATTTGAACCCTCACCTTTCCAATTGTAGACTCAGGGCTGTAACTAGCAGAGCTGCAGGCCGCATTTCTCTAACCTATGGTGGCTCTACCTCCACAGAGTTATGTGCTCTGGGCTGTTTCAGTTCTGCTGTCAGCAGGTTCTGGATATTATCTGCATCCCACATCACATGAAGCCAATGACTGTGCTGGTCGCAGTGCTACAGGCCCAGAGCAGACAGAGGCCCCACACATCAGCACCCTGCACCCTGAACAGCAGCTGATCACTGTGTGACCGCAGCCTGAGCTGGGTTGGATATAGCCGTCGTGGATGCAGAGGCTGGGGACTATCAGCCAGCTCCCTGAGTCACGTTCACCCAACATGGCTGCCTCGGGCCTTCTGGGTAAATTAGTCTTTGGGCCAGATAAGGACAAGAAGCCCAGAAGCACCAGTGTGCTAACTTTGGCCACATTTGCTACCGTCGTTGCCGTCAGCCGGACCTGTCCGGTTAGCTCCAGCTGTGTGAGCTGTGACCTGCTGTAGCTGTAGCTACACTGAATAGATCTGAATGTAGCACAGTGCCGCTATTAGCCATACTGAGGTCCCCAGAGGCTCAGGGGTGTGTGAGTTCGCTCAGGAAGCCATCTCCATTTCAGAGCAGGAGATCCTCAAGTACAGGGATTGTAATCCAGTTTCCTAATGTAGCTGAGCATGTCGTCTGGTCACTTGCAGCCCGTCCACCTCGTCACCCTCCGCACAGCACCGGCGGGCACGCTCCCAGCAGCCTGTCCAGCTGCCCTGTGGGTGCTGAGCTTCGCCGGCAGGACAGGCTCTTATGGGGAAGGGGCGTGTTGAGCTTCTGAGGAACAGAGAGCAGCCACTGTTTGTGGAGCTAATTAAACGCACAAATGCAGGGAGAAGCATGGAGAGCGAACATCCCCCCAAAGCGAAGAGTCAGCAGGGACACGGATCTGCTGATACTTATTACTCACCGCCGGGGGGCTCGATTTTCTAGCTCTCTGCTTGTCCTCTAAAGTCTGCCCTGCCTTTTTCTTATTTACTGTGTCCCTGTGGGCAATCTGCTTTGTTCCTCCGCATGATGCTTTGCAGAAGCCCTCCCTGATTGGCTCGTGCGGCGGGATCTCCAGTCCTGTCTGGACAAAAGCAGGGCATGGGCAGGTGGGCAGGAAGGACAGCCAAGGAAATGGGGAAGACAGCAGGAGAGGGGGCGACAGTCAGAGAGAAAAACAGATAAGAGGGAGAGAGGGGGAGCGAGAATGGCAGGACCTGGCAGGCATCCACCGCTGACGAGAGTTCCCGCAGCCCTGCTGTTGCCATGGTGATGGGCCAGAGAGAGAGAGAGAGAGAGAGAGAGAGAGAGAGAGAAAGGAGAGCGAGCTAGAGAAAGGAGCGAGACAAGGGAGGACGGCAGAGCGAGCGAGCAGCGGAAGGAGAGGCAGCTTCAGGAGCACCACAGCAACCATGGACATGCAGTGGGAGAGCAGTGAGGCACCAGGCCGCGAGCCCCAGCCACCCGGACGCATCAACAAGGCCGCCTTCAAGCTGTTTGGCCGCCGCAAGCCCACTATCTTCAGCGTGCGGGGCAGGCCAGAGGAAGCCAAGGTGGCCGGCAAGGCGCCACTCGTCAGGAGCAGGACACTTGATGGGCTGTCCGAGGAAGGCGCTCACAAGGACGGCCTGGAGTCCACCACGCTTGGCTCAGAGGAGACGGCCAGAGCCCCGGGGGAAGAAACGCCCCCCCCGCCAGCACCACCACGCCCCTCCATCTCATCCGTGGCCTCGGTGAAGTCGCTGGGCTTCCTGACATTGCTACGTGGGGGGAGTCGGCGGGGTGGAGCAGGCCCGCGGAGGGGGGGGCTACGCGGACTACTGGGCAGCGTGCGTTGGCCACGAAGGGCCCGGGAGCCCGAGGAGACACCCACAGCTCCCCCAGAGGGGCTTCTGCTGGCCTCCCGCTCCAACAGCGTAGAGATTGTGAAGGAGCATGCAACTCTCACGCCACATCCAGCACCACGCGCCCTGGATGTCACCACTGCAGACACACACCTGCAGGAGGGGCGGCCTCTCTCTTTGGCCGCTTCTCCTGGGAGCCCCCCCACCGTACCTTGCATGGACCTGCTCAGCTCCGTACTGGCTGATATCTCTTCACTTGGGAATTTCAACTCGGCAGCTGCCTGCACTGATGTCATCGGCATGGGCGGGACGTCAGATGGAGGGACAGCCTCCCTGAAATCTGGCTCCCAACTCGAGGCTGGACCAAGCTCTCTACCTACCCCTGCATCATCCCCCACCATTGCTCTGACTGCTTCAGCAACAGCTAAATCAACCCCCATTCTTAAACCTTCTTCAGCCTTTACCCCTACCCCTACCTCTCCACCTACCCCTGCCCTTAAACCTGCTCCAGCTCCTGCCCCTACCTCTGCATCTACTCCAGCTCATACCCTTACCTCTACATCTACCCCAGCCCCTAAACCTGCCCCAGCCCCTACCCCCGTACCTACCCCAACCCTTACTCCTACCTCTACACCTACCCCAGCCTTTAAACCTGCCCCAACTTATACCCCTACCTCTACACCTACCCCAGCCCCTAAACCTGCCCCAGCTCCCACTCCTACTCCTACCTCTACACCTACCCCAGCCCCTAAACCTGCCCCAGCTCCTACTCCTACTCCTACCTCTACACCTACTCCTGCCCCTAAACCTGCCCCAGCTCCTTCTCCTACTCCTACCTCTACACCTACCCCAGCCCCTAAACCTGCCCCAGCTCCTACTCCTACTCCTACCTCTACACCTACCCTGGTCCCTAAACCTGCCCCATCTCCTTTCCATACCGTCACACCTATCCCTGACTCTAGTCCTGCTCCAGCTCCATTCTCTACTTCTACAACAAACTCCGTCTCTCATCCTGTCCCAGTTCCTCCCCATACAGTCACACCCACCCCAGCTACTGTTTGTGCTCCGACCGTTGGACTGGATAATACTGCAGGTCTGGGTGAGGCAATCCAGTTCCACCTTGATGAGGGTGATGGACAGACAGATGCCCGCATGCCAGATCTTGAGAGGGACGGCCAGTTTCTCCACTCTCCCCAAACCCCGCCTCCTGATGCAGGCTCTGTCCTTTATCTGGAGAAGAGGCCTCAAGTAAGTAAGATTCCTGTGAGTGGGGGCAGTCGAGCAGGGAAGCCATCGCATGATGTCACGCCTGAGGAAAGCAAATGGGACCTTGACAGCCTTACGGCCTCATCTAATGTCACACCTAATGCCACGCCCGCTGCCACACCTTGCGAAGGGGAGGAGTTTGGTGGCCTTGTGGCTCTGCAGGATGACTTGAGCCCAGAGGAGAAACCAGAGAAGCGTGGCATGAAGTCCGCCAGCCGTGGCACCAAGATACCTGTGAAGCAGACTCCATTGGCACTTTCTACCCGTCAGGGGGTGCCTCTGCAGCAGTGCCCCCCGCCGACTAAGACTGAGGGCCCCCGGACCAAAATCCCTGTGTCAAAGGTACCCATCCGCCGAGCTGGGAATAAGGTTCCTGTTGGTACGCGCCAGCCCCCCCAGGATCTGTCCCGGAAATAAAGTACCTGATCCGGATGCCCAGCTGGTTCTGTACGGTGGACGGCCACAACCTTGCTGGTGTCACTGCACGATGGACGACAGGCATGATTCTTTCCAGAGGATTTTTCTTTCAGGATGTTTACCCACATTCAGACATCAACGTGTGGGCGCCATGTGTCTATCGGGAATACAGACCCCCCGCCCCCCCCCATGTTGCCTCGGTGACGCAGAGCCACGGACTGATGCAATAAACAACAAAAACAGACCCTGAAGCACAAGATGACCCCAGACCTACGAGCATCATGCACATGTGCCACGTTCACTGGACAATGCCAGACCTTCAGAACCCAGCAGTGATGTAACTGGGAGGCAGAGAGGCTAAGCAGGGCAGTGGCAGGTCGTTCTGCCTGGGCCTGAGGTCCGTCATCAGGAAAACCCGCTTTCGGGGAATTGGCAGCACCCCTGCGGGCAGCTTCGTACCCTTTGGTACTCCCTTCTCTTTGTACAATGCACCCCTGCCCCGGACTACAGGCACGGCCCGGAGCCTCCTTTGGGACGGTGAGTCGTGGTGAGACAGACACGGGCTATGTTGGGGTCTACAGTACTCACAGCACATGGGTTTCCCACTGTGTACATATTCACTTGGACCAGGATTATTTTTGTTGCTGTAAATGGTGTTTTATTTCCTATTTAATTAATAAATGCTGGTTTGTGTGACTCACAGACTGCCACTTTTTATGGTCGGAGCTGTGTTCTTCCTGAGCCCGCTGTCCTCCCTCGAGCGTGAAATTGTGTGCCCGCACGCGTGTGACTGTGTGCGACTCTCGCTGTTATAGTGTGCATATGCTACGGAAAGAGACTGCAGAAAGTTAAGGGGAGGGGATTGTGGGAAGTGGAGGGGCTAGTCTACACTACAGAGGATAAGTCTCAAAGCAAGGAGGATAGCAGAAATCCCAAGTCTTAGTGAGTGGGGGACAGTAGAGATCCCGGGTCTCAGGGGGATGGCAGAGATCCCGGGTCTCAGGGGGATGGCAGAGATCCCAGGCAGCAGAGATCCCGGGCTCCGGGCATGGGGGTCGGCAGAGATCCCAGGCCCCAAGGTGAGGGTGACGGCAGAGATTCTGGGCCCCAGGGTGTGGGGGACGGCAGAGATACCAGGCGGCAGAGATCCCAGGCCCCAGCGCAAGGAGGATGGCAGAGATCCCGGGCCCCAGGGCGTAGGGGATGGCAGAAATACCAAGTGGCAGAGATCCCAGGCCCCAGGGCAAGGGGGACGGCAGAGATAATAATAATAATACGGCAGAGATACCAGGCGGCAGAGATCCCAGGCCCCAGGGCGAGGGGGACGGCAGAGATCCCAGGCCCCAGGGCGAGGGGGACGGCAGAGATCCCAGGCCCCAGGGCGAGGGCGACGGCAGAGATCCCAGGCCCCAGGGCGAGGGGGGCGGCAGAGATCCCAGGCCCCAGGGCGAGGGGGGCGGCAGAGATCATTCGCGTTTAAGATAGCATCAATGCAATGCCCCTGAGATGCCATAACAGCTGAGCCTCTAATACAAGGTTTGCTTTTCATTAGAGGATGATAACAGCTGCAGGTAAAAGAACAATGTTCGGAAGATTTATTATGGTCTTTGTCTTTTTGTCAGACAAGGAGAAGGCAGGAGACATATGTCAGTCTGAGCGGCAGCTAGGTTTGTGTAGCTGATGGACACAGTTAATTAAGGAGGTCAGTCTGCCATCTTCACTAGCTTCATTAAGTGTCTTGCCAGTCAGCACCACGGCTGCCCTCATACACACTCACACTGACCATGGATTGGGACGGCCCAAATCACATGACCCTTCAGAGGTATGATATGTGAAAAGGCAGAGGCGTAAACATGTCTTACTGCAGAGTCAGTCACCAAGAAGCTCGACAAAGCCAGACACGCAAAGGAGCGTGATCTGATGGGGAGGAGCTGATCAATAAGGTGAGCGGTAAACACAGATATAAGCACATATACCAGTGCTTTGGCATGTAAACACTCATGGTTACGGATTATACCACATATTCAGCAGGAGTCAAAAGTCTGAGTACACTTGCTGTAAACTGTTTCTGCATTTTAGTAAAAGATGCACTTTAGTAGAAAGAGATTCTCAGAGAAAAAATGCTGTAAATTTTACAAGGAACTCTCTAACCGGTTGCATTATTTAAAAATATTAATATGTGCATTAAGAATTTTATTTAACATGACCTGTAAGCTTTGGATGGGACGTTTTTGCAGATTGCGCATCTGGATAACATGTCGTTAAATGATTTCAGAGATTTGTGGCATTTCTACAGCATTTCACCTCCATTTTGCACACCTTACATATGACTTTGCTTTTGTCCAGCTCTTTCTATTGCCGAAATCCGAAACACACCTATCTTTAGGCTTGACGGTCCTTTCAGTGGAGCAGCTGTTGGCATGTATTTTTTTCTGTTTTTGTCATGGCAGATCTCATTGTGTGAAGCTGGCCATGCGAGACTAACAGGGTTAAAGCTTCACATATCCCCGGGAAAACGCCATAGACTGTAAAAGGCATATATTTAAAAAAATCTCAGGATTCTATGAATCGATATCAGACAATGCAAATGAAGATTGATTTGCATCAGGAAGTTGATTTTATTTTTTTAAACCCAGCACTACTGTCCTAGTCCCCTCCTAGACGTTCCGTGGGATCGATGTTTAGAGACCAAGCAGGCCAGGTCATTCCCCTTTGGTATTTTTCATCTTCATTTTCTTTTTGATCAGATTTTTCTTGTCCTATTATGAGCATGTCATTTGTCATTACATAGTCCATATTCAGCATGATAATCAGCTGTGATCCTGATAGATTGCTATGCTTTTGAAATATGATTTGCCAACAAAACAACTCTGCCGCCTCCATGTCTGACAGCAAGAACCACACTTGCAGAACTAATGTCTTAAAAATACACAGAAGCCAAATATTTCAAACTCTGATTTGTTGTCCGTAAGACCAGTTTCCAATCATGTCAATAGTCATGTTTATATACTGTAGTTCAAAGCACAGAGATTCTGGATTCAAGCAGGTTTACTCTTGTGACTTTTGACTGTTTGCAGTTACCTAATCCCTTTTCATGTCGAGCTAACCTTTTTCTTCCAGTACACAAGGCCCTAACATCTGTTCAAAGATACCTCATCTCTGTATACAAAGACGTAAACACCATTCTCAGTTACTCTACAGGGACGTAATCTCATTTGACAGTAATCAAAGTGTTGCAATTTGAGTGACATCATCATCTCAGAGGGACTTAATCTCCAGCCATGATTACATTTATTTAGCAGCTGCTTCTGTGTGGAACAGAGCAGGGTCAGACAGTGTCTCTGGAGGAACTGGGGTTAAGGACCTTGCTCAGGGATTCGGTGGTGACAGAACTCTGCCAGTCATGGGATTTGAACCAGTGACCGTCTGATCACGGGCACAGAGCCACACAGCGCCCCAGTGTGGCGGGGGCACCAAAGCTGATGATGGTGGAGGCAGCTGGACCGTGTGGTAGGACAGTTTAATGGACACAGACATGCACAATGCTGCTACCAGCCCCACCGTAGCTTCCATGGTAATGCAGTAACCAGCCCCACTGCCACGGTCACGCAGTAACCAGCCCCACTGCCGCGGTCACGCAGTAACCCGCCCCACTGCCACGGTCACGCAGTAACCAGCCCCACTGCCGCGGTCACGCAGTAACCAGCCCCACTGCCACGATCACGCAGTAACCAGCCTCACTGCCGCGGTCACTCATCACTCATCCCCATGTTTGAGGTCACGAGTCACAAGTCCACACTGGGGCTGTGAGTCCCACTGCAGACTAACAGCGGGAAGACACGCTCCACTGAAAACCATGCCCCTGGCACTGTCTCCATGGCAACCTTAGTAGGACAGCCAATGAAAAGCTATGACTGGGTGGGTGGAGACCCAGCGTGTTTGCAGAAGCACTTGCACATACGTTCGGATGCAGACATGGTGTCACAATATAGCAGGATGTTCACAATAGCTTCTCAGTGTGTAGCCCCACTATAGACAGCTGACATACACATTTGGGGAAATGCCAGTTAATGTTCATCACAAAAATGCAAAGAAAACCACATCAGCAGCTATTCAGGGGGCTTTGGCTATGCCGACTACTCCCATTAATGAGGACGCAGAATCCTACGGCGTGTAGCGAGGTCACGGAAACAAGGGGCGCACCAGTGATGCCGCACAGTTCCTCCTGAAGCGTGTGCTGAAAGAGAAACACGGACGTGATCTCCCACTGTGACGGGCAAAGAAAGGGGGGGAGGGGGTGGGAACGAGGGAGATTAGAGAAAAGAAGGGGAAAGCGAGGGGGGAGCAGAGAGCTGGAAAAGGCAGACAGTAGTGAGCAGGCAAACAGTTCCCCCGTCAACAAGAGCCGGAGAGTGTCCTCTTCCAGCTGCAGACCACACCCATGTGACATGAGGCGTCGTCACGGAAACAGAACCCGCAGACAAAGCACTCTCAGCTTAGGGGTTTATTTCTGGATACAAAAATAAAGAAACATGCAAGATGTATAATAAAAAATACAACAGATTAAAATATTAATTAAAATACTAAGCTAAGGAGGAGTATTGTGGGCCGGGGGAACCGGATCTCTCATCCTCAAGCCAGTGATAACAAAGGCACTCTTCACCATTATCAATAACATCATCATCTCCCCTTGCTTTGTAGTACCGTCCGGAGTGGGGGTAGTGGGGCACGACACCCACCGAACAGAAAAGTAACACACTGTGCCACTGAGAGCGTTCTGACAGTGAACAGGAACTGGAAATATAAATGGTGGCTCAGAAACAGAGCAGGGGTCAGTTTAGATGCCAGGGTAGCGGTGGGGGGGTAGACCGGACAGCCCGATTCTGGAAACATCCTGGGGTAGTGAGTGGTAACAGACTGCCCCCTAATGACTAAACAGTAGAAATACTCCACTGAACAGCTACTCTGAGCTATCAATAGGTCCAAGTGCATCATTTCAGTCAAGGGTAAACACACACGCACATAAGGAAAAGTCACATGATATAAAAATAGAATTGAAATACAGATTCTTTGGCACCATAAAGACGGCGAACAGCATAGAGCTTCAACATTGTTAGACACTATGTGTCCTGAGAAGCTGGAAGGTCATGGAATTTGTCTCACCCCTGAAATGACCTTTAAGCTCTGTCTGTTATTGCAGTACCATGTTTTAAGGCTGGGGGGTGTGGCAGCTTGGGGGTAGGTACCACACACAGTCCAAAAGGGGGAGGGGGGGGGCAGGAGAAATGGTCCGGAATGGGCATAAGGCACTAGGGATTTTCTGGACCATGCGTTTAGACCATGAAGTGGGCGTAACCCTCAGCACCCGTGATGATCACGTCCATCCAGATGCGCATGGCTTCCGGCGATGGTGCCACCATGTAATACACGCGGTCGTGGGTCTTCACGCTGAACGTCAGCGAGGCGTTGGGGCTCTGTGAAGGACACGCACAGCCAAACAGCTGAAACGCGTATGCTTATGATGCGTGTCACGTCACAGACAGTCCTGTGCATCTACGTGTCTGTAGACTCTATGTCTCAAGGGCATCGGTTTGGTTTCAACATTGGTAGACATTGGCAAACACACACAGTACTCCCAAAATATTGGTAGGGACCTACCATCAAATTAGGGCTGAGCAATATCGTATCGATATTATATCGCACAATAATCACCAGGGCATCAGATGACAGACAAAGCATTTGGCCGGGCGCCAGCTTTTCAGTGATACATGGACGTTTATTTATGTTCATAATTTGGTAAGAAGTTTAGTAGTATTAATGAGATGCATTTTGTGATACCCAAAAGTTAGTAATCTGTATGAACTTTATGTTTCTTAAATTCGATTATCGGAGCACCCCACACAATACTGTTTTGGTATACTATGGTTTGGTATACTACGGTCTGGTATACCTCAGTGCAATATGCACTGAAGTCCGGGTGAAGAAGAGCAGCCACCACGACATCATTTAAAAGAGGAGATCTTGCAGATAAACAAGGTAAAAAGACGTCGGCGGTGTGACGGCACTTTTTGCAGTTTTAAGTCTGACACATTTATTAAACATAAGGATATGCCGTATTTATACTGATACTGACTTTTGGGCATCATAAACTGCCGTACTACTAAACTGCCTAACAAATTGTGGGCGTAAATAAACGTCCATAAAGCACTGAAAAGCTGGCACCTGGCCAAATGTTTCGCCTGTCATCTGAAGCCCTGGAGATTACTGCACAAGCGCAATGCAATATCGATACGATATCGCCCAGCCCTAATCCAAATATATACCCTTGCCATGTCTCACCTTGTGTGCATTCTTTAAGTGATCATAATAGACTTCCTCAATGGCCTGGAAGTATATGACTCCCTTCAGCTGGACCTCATGCTTATCTGGAACCAACAGAGACAGGAGACACATGTGACCAATATAACCACCACTCATGTCCAACTTGCACAAAGATGTAGGCCTTCACCTGCTGGTGAATCCTCACCCTCCCACTAGCTTGACTTCAGGTGTGCGTATGTGATACAGACATCTGTAGGTACACTTGATTATTTAACTGCCCTGTATTTTTGCTACAGAGATATAAGCATTGCATCAGTGTATTCTTTGTAAGATTGATGTCTCGTTACTGCCCTCTAGTGGCCTTGCAGCCAAATGTTCATTTTGCAGAGATATTGTCTGAATCTCTCACTACGAGTTTTTTAAGGAACAAAAGTGTATCATAGGAATTAAACTTGTATGTAAATCTGTTTCTTAACTGGTTTCCAAAACTGTGACTTACCAGCAAAGTAGGACAGCGTTCGCCGGTTGCGATCGAAGACAAACCATCGCTTCTTCCATGTCTTGATCTTACCGCCCATCTTGACCAGGAAGCCCCTGCAGGTCTTCTCGGTCAGTGACACGTGATAGCATGTGTCCACGTGGTGGCCAGCCAACTCGATGTGGCCACGGAGGTCAAAATCATCTCTCCTCACTGGAAGGTAGCGGGTTAGGGGGCGGGACTGTGGGACAGAGGGCGGGGTTACAAGGGCAAAGTAGATAGAACCGGCCTTTGTAGTGGAAGGCATGTTACCGCAAGAGCAGAAAAATGTTAAGAATAGACATTTGGGGGATGTGCCAACAGCATGATAGTCCAGTTAATGACGTCTATATGATGTATAGAAATAGTCAGTCTAGATCCAGGGTAATGTGTTACAGTTGACATAGCCAGTGCCAAGAAGACAGACAAATGCGTTGGTGTGAGAGCGTCTGTGTGTGGACCTGTTCTCTCTGTCTCTCCCTCAGCTTCACTTCCCTCTCAACCAGCTTCTGCCTCCTGCTGGTTTCCTCTTCTAATCGCTTCTCCAGATCCTCCCTGCGCCTCCTCTCCTCTTCTAGGGCCTGCCGGCGTACCTCCATCTCACGCTCCTGCAGTGGCACGTACAGACAGTTCCCCAGACACGCACTGGTAACACCTGGAGCATGTGAGCCCACGTTAGGAGCTTCAGAGACCATGTGACTCTGCGAAGACGCACTGTCGATACCCGGTTCTCCAAAAGCCGGATCTTCTCAGCCTGTGCCTCCCTTAGCAGTCTTTCCATCTCCTCCAGTTTGGCAGCGTTGGCGGTGCTGGCACTGTGTGGACCAGCAGAGAAAGGAACCAGGAATCAAGGATGATATAGGGGAGATGAGTAGGTGTGGAAGAGGAGAGACAACTGGGTTTGGAAGACTGCTGCATTACCGATATTAACAGCAGGGTTTGACTTCACGCACGACTATAAGGCAAGTCCACCAATACGTCATTCATCATATGCTCAATTCTAACATAACCATCATCCACATCTCTCAAACTCCAGCCCAACACTGCCCAGCCTGATCCTAGGCAAGCTTCCTTCTTAAGTAGCTCCACCATCACCTGGAGATGTTGTCAGGTGAGCAGGCGGAGATGCTGGTCTCCATGCTGTCAGAGCTCTGAATGCTGACGCTGTCCATGGCGTTGCCGTTATCCCCACAGAGGGAAGCATGCAGCTGGACAATGGAGTGAGAAGCAGCTCTCACCCGCCTCTCATCAGTGCCCCCCAGGTGGAAGGCACTACCTGGAGGACAGAAGGAAGCACCGCAGTGAATCCCCACAACTAACCCTAACCCTAAAGGCAGTACCCCTTAACCCTAACTATAACTCAAACCATAACCCTAACCCTACAGGCAGTACCCCTTAACCCTAACTATAACTTAAACCCTAACCCTACAGGCAGTACCTCTTAACCCTAACTATAACTCAAACTCTAACCCTACAGGTAGTACCCCTTAACCCTAACTATAACTCAAACCCTAACCCTACAGGCAGTACCCCTTAACCCTAACTATAACTCAAACCCTAACCCTACAGGCAGTACCCCTTAACCCTAACTATAACTCAAACCCTAATCCCACAGGCAGTACCCCTTAACCCTAACTATAACT